ATTTAAACATCAGCGATTTCTGGAAATCCAAGATTAGGCTATCAATAGATCTCAGTTCTTGGTGACAGCTTTCTTTTTTCCTGTATCTCTACACCATAGGAAGACATGTAGCTTGCAGTCTGGCCTTTTTCTAACAAAAACACTGTAAGTCTGAATATCCTTCATCCCCAAATTTAAATGCTATAAAATCTGAAACTTTTTGAACAGTGATGTAAAAATTCCACAAAAAACATTTGTTTTATGTAAAAAATTACTTAAAATATTGTATAAAATTACCTTCAGACAAGTTGTATAAAGTTTATCTAAAATATTCAAATGAGGAAGTACAAATGGCTAATAAGTACATGAAAAAAAGTTTAATCTCTCTAGCATCAAGGAGATAAAAATCAAAAGTACATTGAGGTTCTATCTCATCCCAATCAGAATGGCTATCATTAAGAAAACAAACAACAACAACTGATGACCAGGATGCAGAAGTAAGGGTATTGCTGGTTAGGGATGGAACCCTTTATTCATTACTAGTGAGAATGTAAATTAATCCAGCCATTATGGATATCAGTGTGGAAGTTTCTAAAAAAAATAATGGTACTTTCACAGATCCAACCATAACACTTCTGGGTACATACCTCCCAAAGACAAAGTCAACTTACTATAAAGATAGCAATATTGTGAATGGTAGCACTATTCACAATAGTCAAATTATAGAACTAGTTTTGGGCCATATCAATAAATGAATAGAATATGATTACAAACACACACACACAATAGAGTTTTATTCATCCATAAAGAAGAATGAAATTTTACCATATTCAGGAAAATAAATGGAGTTGGAGATCATGTTAAGTGAATCAAGCCAGTCTCATAAAGGCAAATTTAGCATGCTTTCTATCATATGTGGAATCTAGAACCAAAAAAAAAGGAAAATAAGGGAAAAGAGAGGGCAAAGGAAATAGAAAAGGGGAGGGGCTTGGGAAGATGAATTTGAATGATGTACATGTATGGGAATATCATGAAACTTTTTGTACAATTAATATATGCTAATAAAAATATAGCTTATACTAAAAAAGAACCATACATGAATTTCTTATTGAACTTGGGACCCATCTTTACGATTATCTCATTAATGTGTATGTAAATATTCCCACATTTAAAAAGAAAATCTGAAATACCATTCCTAAGCATTTCGGATATGGGATACTCAATCAGGAATCTCATTCATTAGGTCTGTAGCCTCATGATCTAGCTTCAGCATATGAATTTTGAAAGGATACAACCATTCAGTCCATTGCAAGAAGAAATACAGGCCCAAATCATGATTACTTTGATTGCTAATTATGAAACCATATTTAGTCATCTGGACCTCACTTTCTTTATCTGTTAAATGGAGAACTCTCTAATAAAATTCACAGAATTATGTATGAGGATAAACTGATGCTTATATGAACCTGTTTTGAAAGTTGAAGATTATTTACACATGTATGGGACATATCTTAATCAGTACACAAGACACACAACCAGTTCTCATTAATTTCCTTCTCTTAAAGGCAAATATCAGCTGACCAAGAAGACCACTGAATCAATACTAAGTACTCTTTGGGACATTTTTCTCCACAGGTTGCCTGTAGCCAGGACAAGTGGCCTGTTCCACCAAAGCTAACTTTCAAAACCCCTGGATTCCACAATATTTCCAACCTACTTCCCCCAACCTCAACCCAGGTTGAGGTTGAGAGATATATTAAGATATATCTATTGTTTGTCCTCTTTGAATCCCATTCTTTCTGTCCTTTGGTTTCTTCATAATCCTCTACAGTCTCTGGCAAAAAATCTTGATGCAGATAGAGCTTCACAGATGATGGTTTTATTGCTTACATTCTATTTTTCAGGGGGGTCATATTTCTCCATTGTAAAATTCTGTTGGCTGTTGGACGACTCAATTTGCATTCTGTAGAACATGCACAATAATGAAAATCTAAATTAAAAAAACACCTTTCAAACAAATCTAAATTTGACTTTTGTCCTATATTGGGAAAAGAAGATCTTTTAAAGCCTGACTTTATTCTCACATCTCATGGTTGCCTCCTCATTTTGGTCTCAGCTACAATTACCACTTCCTCCAGAGGGCTTTCACTTTAAACACCCCAACATCCTGAATACATTATGTGTCACTCTTAGCACAACTGCAGTTCTTTTTTTTCTTTCCTTCTTTTTTTTTTTTTTTTTAACTCATCTGCTCCTTGCATATGATCTACCATCTGGGAAGCAAGCAGAATGAGAGCAGAATTTTCTCTCTATAGATGCAGGCCAGGGGCACCTTCTTGTAAATCCCTGTCAGCTAGTACCTATGTTAGGGCCTGGTTCATGAGGACTGTTGCTTGTTATTAAACAATGAATAAGTGGAAAATTGAAAGCTTATTCCATGCTATCCTTTGAAATTTCATACATGATCCCATCTACACCTACAGCTACACCCTCAGTAGGAATCTTTCCTGTTTTATAGACAAAGAAGGTTAGATCTGAGAAGATTGAAGCAAAGCTTCCTCTCTTCCCATCCCTGAAAATATGGATTCCAATTTCTCTAATCTTTTCTGCCAGCTTTCTACACTGTTACCACAGTTAATAACTGGTGTTAAGAACTGATCTTCTTGTTGGAGCTAAATGCATGAGGACAGCAGGAAAACTCCCGGAAGTCAAGCAAGTGGGTACAGTTCACACACCCTCCTTAAGAGCCTTAAGCAAACAAGAGTAGGGTATATTAGTAACAGCCTGGCTTCTTTACGAATGGCACACAAACTGACTATCTAGGAAATAATTCTAGGCTCAGTTGCCAACACCAATTTCAATTTGGGAATAGTTATTAATTATCCAGGCTGTCTCTCTTCCAAGTGTGTGTTTCCCTTATCTTTCCTATAGGCAGAATTCACTGCTTTTCATTTCATTTTCTTTAAAAACTTTCCTCAGCATAGAAAAAAATTGGAAGAGCCGAGAGGAAACTGAGTAAGTTGCTAGTAACTTTGCAAAGGCATCATTTTCAGTATGCTGCTCTCTGCCAGGCTCCTCTTTATGTAAACAGGTAAATTAGGAAATTGCAGTCCTAGCGATTCAGGAGGCTGTGAGCCCTAAGGTTCGAAGCCAGCCCAGGCTGGAAAGTCTGTGAGATTCTTCTTTCCAATTAACTACCAAAACTCTGGAAGCGGAAGTATGGCTCAAGCGGTAGAGCGCAATCCCTGAGCAGGTAAAGCCAAGTGAGAACACCAGGCCCTGAGTTCAAGCCCCAGTAACCCACCCCACTCCCACCGCCTGGGCCCCCAAACCGGCTTCTAGGATGGGAAAGAAGAAAGCTGGTGGGGTTTAGGCAACACTTGGGGAAGGACAAGAGGCGGCGCCCAGAGACTTTACAGGGCTCTCTCAGGTGAGGACCATAAAACCTAGCCCAGCAAACACCAAGCGCTAGACCAGGAACAAGCTCGGTTTCCAGTTCCACTGCGGGAAAGGTTCCCATCTTAAACCGCCCAGGAGTGACGGCGCGGGGCGCGGGGCGCGGGGTCCGAGCCAGGCCTGAGGGTCAGAGACGCTCCATTTCAAAAAGAGCCGGGAGCTAGAGTCTGTCCGACCCCTGCGGAACCCGCACCCTGCCTGGGCGTGGGGTCCCGGGCACGCC